AAGTCTCGTCCGTTACATCCAAGGGATGCACGTCTGGCAGCAACACATCCAGTTCAACCTGCCTTTCCTCCGCCGGCGCCAGCAAACCCAACACTTCCGATGATGACGGCATGTGAGATGGCTGTTGGGGAATGCTTTCAGACATTCCTAGGCGGTGGTGCTGCACTGCCGAGCAACAGTTCAGCTCGATCTTCAATTGAGAACATGGTGTCGAGTTTGGCGAATGCTGTGTGGGAGAGGCTGCAGCCAAAACTTGTGGAACTTCAATTCATGTCAACACTTGAGCACAGTGTTCCACTGGCACCTGCCGGTGCGCTGGCGGACCTTACAGCGTGGAATCCGAGTCTTCCTGAGAAGTCGGAGCCCTACAAGGCTGAGCAGGAGCAAATCGACCAGGAGTCGGAAGAGGAGGAAGAAGAGGAGCACGATGAAGAAGTAGCCCCTACCATCGACAGAGACCCTGTGATGCAGCCTGGCAGGGATTTGCATGCAGTTTACAGTGTTGTATTGTTTATATGAAACAGTTGAGGCTGGAGATCTTGGCGGACTACTATATCCCTGAGGATCTCAAGGACAAGTTCTTCCACTTGGCCACCCATCACGATTTCCCATTGCAGCTCCAGGTCAAGCTCATGCCGCTTGACCTGGCGCTGCAATGGGAAATCGTGATGGGTGGCCAAGTGGAAGAACTTGTCCTTGAGATCCTCAGGGATATAGTAGTCCGCCAAGATCTCCAGCCTCAACTGTTTCATATAAACAATACAACACTGTAAACTGCATGCAAATCCCTGCCAGGCTGCATCACAGGGTTTCTGTCGATGGTAGGGGCTACTTCTTCATCGTGCTCCTCTGCTTCCTCCTCTTCCGCCTCCTGGTCGATTTGCTCCTGCTCAGCCTTGTAGGGCTCCGGCTTCTCAGGAAGACTCGGATTCCACGCTGTGAGGTCCGCCAGCGCACCGGCAGGTGCCAGTGGAACACTGTGCTCAAGTGTTGACATGAATTGAAGTTCCACAAGTTTTGGCTGCAGCCTCTCCCACACAGCATTCGCCAAACTCGACACCATGTTCTCAATTGAAGATCGAGCTGAACTGTTGCTCGGCAGTGCAGCACCACCGCCTAGGAATGTCTGAAAGCATTCCCCAACAGCCATCTCACATGCCGTCATCATCGGAAGTGTTGGGTTTGCTGGCGCCGGCGGAGGAAAGGCAGGTTGAACTGGATGTGTTGCTGCCAGACGTGCATCCCTTGGATGTAACGGACGAGACTTGGTCGGATCTTTCGGTTCCGGCACACCCTCTGGAGAATCAACCTCAACCACTGGCGGCTTTGGCGGCTTTGCAGCCGGCTTTTTCGGCTTTGCAGGCATGGTTTTCGTAAGAGGTGCTGGCTTTGTTTTTGCCGTTGCCCCTACTTCTGCTGATGCCAATTTTTTTGCTGGCGGTCTTGCTTTTGGTGGTGCTCCTGCTTTTGGTTCTGCCCCTGGCTTGTCTGTTGATGCTGTTGCGCTGGCTTTTGTTTTTTTTGCTGGTGATGCTTTTGGATCATTGGTCCACTCTGGAGCGGGCACTGGTGGCCTGGCAAAAGCCGGAGTAGCAGAACTGGAGGAGGCAGGATCACCACCCCCTCTTGTGGCGTCATCGACATCTGTCTCCGGGATCTCAAGCGGAGCAGTTCGTGCTCTTTTGGCATCTGGCAGCACCTCAAATGCTTTGCATTGAAGACGACACACACACACACCCTCAATTGAGGATGTCAATTGTGACTGAAATGTTATTATTTATTCTTGAAGCTGAAGCGAAAATGTAGTGTTGCTCCCAGCTGCTGCTGCTGCAGCAGTTCCTCTTGACTTCGTCTTCTGATTTCGCTTCTGAAGCTTCTGAAATGTCCTGGAAGGTAGGTCCACGGGATGTTCCTGCTTGTCCTTGACCATTCTTGTTTTCAAGTTCCTGAGTCAAAGTGTTACGTGTTGGCACTACAGGGCAGACTGCAAATCAAATCAATGCGGAATTCGAGTCCAGGCACATCTGAATGGAAGCCCAATCATTCTGATTTGCAAATTGGTCGGTCCATGTGGTCCAAGCATTTTGCAATGCTGCCCCCCATTCATGAGACGACCAACCAATGGACGGCAGGAGATGCTTCTGCTTCCTGATGCACACTTTGGCAGAACCATGGATTGCATTTAAATATTTACATATTACAACCTCAAAACAACATTCGAAAATCTGAAGCTGCTCAGCGACACGTGATGGCCATTGGCGAAGTCGATAATGTGCTGTTGATCGGCAGCGATGGCTCTGTGATCTTGTTTTCTGTGCCTCTGGACTAAAGTGTCGAACCATGCGACGCATTCGATGCCACAGACCTGCACTGACAGCTGATATACTTACAAAAACTAGACAAGTGAGTGTCACCTGGACCAATGAGTCAGTTCAGCACAGCGACTTGGAAGAGAGCCATGACCAACGCAATCATGGCACACGTCCTGTGCCATCCCGCCGAACAGCAGATCCTGACAATTGAAGGACCACATAGGAGGGTTATAATTATCCTAGTCCCTGAACCTAACAAAAACCTCCAAGACCTTCAGCATTCAAAGACTCGAGAAGCCTGAGCAACTTGTCGGGAAAATTGAGGATGAAGTGGAGCGTCTTGAGCGCTGCGGGATGACTATACACCTCGGTCATTAGGGTGAATTATTATTAAAATTAAAATTAATTATTATACAACTCGATTCATGAAGCAACACCTGTTCGACCAGGCACCTGTTCCATGATATGCTGGTATAGGCCACATTCTCTGCCAAACCTTCCTCCTTGGGCCTCCCTTGGCTTCCATCCATGACTGTCACTGTCACTGACCTCAATTGTCAATTGAGTGAAACTGAAATGAATGAAAAATGTACAAATGTCATGAAGCTTCGACACGTGCATTTGCACCTGCAAGCGAACCTCCCATTTGTTAGAAAAGTTACTTTCCTTGTCCAACCTCTCCAACAAGTCTGCCATCTGAGGTGATGGACGATTTCCATGGGCGCCAACCCCATAACCAACGATCACCACTCTCTTCGGCCAAACGTAGGTTTTGCCGCCCACCAAAACTGACCTCGAAGTGTTGGAGCAGAAAGCAGCTGTCGAAGAGCTCGGGTTGTCAATAGAGCTCACATCGTCATCAGTAGCATCAATAGCCGGTTCGTGGTCTCCACCGTCCCCAATCGTCCGAGTCGTCTTCTTCTTTTCCTTTGCCCCGCCCCAAGTCACCGGAACTTTTCGTTGAGGCGTCTGCGGCTTTCTTGCTGCCGTAGTTCCCGACATCGAATTGGCTGTATGCTATCCCCAAGCTTTGATTGTGCCTCGAATGAACACGGAATTGTAATGATGAAAGTTTAAGCGCAAAAAAAAAGGGCTGCATCAATCTTTGCCAAAGTGCTCTCTAACGTTCTTGTTACAGGCTGACAGAATCCAGGCTTCTGGTTTCTGGATGCCGTCTCTTCCCCGTTTGAAAGCTCTCTTCAAATGTTGTTGCATTGAAACAATGACATGTCAGGTAGCAAATTATTCTCAATTGGAAATTGTCTGAAATGTACTGCAGGTGTCACAAGATCAACAGCCTTTCTCGGGCAGAGCAAATAGAGCAAGTAGATTGCTTGCTGTGCTTTCCGGAGATCCTGGCCCTGCTCCTCGAGACACAAATCCTCAGGGAGATGCTGGAGGGCCACACTCGACATAGCACAACTTGAGCCAGAACTGCAGCATTAGGTTACAAGGGGCTCACAATCAATCACCAAGCAAGCTCACACACACACACACACACACACTCACTGAGCCTTCCGCGCAAATATCACTCACATGCCTTCTGAAACGACTTCACCTGGCAAAATGCAAATTTCATGCCAGCCCTGCCCCCCCCCGGCTCTGTCAAAACATGCCAGGCAGACCACTTGAGCCAGAACTGCAGCATTAGGTTACAAGGGGCTCACAATCAATCACCAAGCAAGCTGACACACACACACACACACACACACTCACTCACTGAGCCTTCCGCGCAAATATCACTCACATGCCTTCTGAAACGACTTCACCTGGCAAAATGCAAATTTCATGCCAGCCCTGCCCCCCCCCCGGCTCTGTCAAAACATGCCAGGCAGACCTTGCCATTGATGCTACCACAATAGTTATACTACCGCAAATCATGCTAGCACAATTAGCGCTACCACAATTGTTGCTACCACAATTACCCAAATTGATGCTACCAGAACTGATGCTACCAGAATTGATGCCACTGCAAAATCGAATCAACCAAGCCAAGCAATGCCATGCTGACTACCACAGTTGCTGCTACCAGAACTGATGGTATCAGAATTGATGCCACCGCAAAATCGAATCAGATGCCACCGCAACAATCGAAGCAATCAAGCCATGCAATGCCATGCTGACTACCACCATTGACATTGAGTGATGCTACCAGAATTGATGCCACTGCAGCATCGAATCAACCAAGCCAAGCAATGCCATGCTGACTACCACAATTGATTGATGCTACCAGAATTGATGCCACTGCAGAATCGAATCAACCAAGCAAAGCAATGCCATGCCGACACAGTAACGGCCTCCCCAGCGTCTTTGCAAACACGAGTGTGCTCTGACAGTCATGCGGACTGGAGACTTCTTTAAATGCCACCCCCATTCGGCCAAGATGGGGTCACCCTGCTGAGTATGCGCCGTCTTTGCCCTATGCGGAGCGCTGAACTCCGATTGCCTTGCATACCGGCCCGCAAGAGGACAGGTCATGCTCGTCATCGAGTGCACCGGAATCGCTGCGCAACGCGCCGGTTACTGAAGACCTGTCAATGAGGCACAGCATAAGATGCCATGCGGGGCCATGCCGGCAAGCAGCAGTGATAGAAGTTAATACTTCGACCGTGGTGTGGGTACGTGGCATAGTATTTATTAATAGTAGCGAGGCCTTCCCTGCAATCTGTGTGCATTTCACCCCGCGGCGGACACACCACCTGGCTGGACAGGCGAGCAGCACACAGAGTAAATCCCCAGCGCCCGGCCAGCGACGCTGTCCCGCACGGATCAAGGACCCATTGCTCACGTGGTCCGAGCCCGACTGGAGCGGTCTCTAAGACCACTCTGAGCTTGGGCGGGCAGGATGGGTAGGGCGAGTCGAACCAAGCCAAGCAAGCCAAGCAAGCCAAGCAAGCCAACCAAGCAACCAAGCCAACCAAGCAGTGGCACGTGACAAAGGACCACGTTTCAGCTTCCAACTCATCCGGCTTGGACAGAAGCGAACACCATCGCTCAATACATCCGGCTTGGACAAATGCAAAAATGTTTGGCAAAAAAGGGTTTCCTCACGCTGGCTTCCCAGTGTGCTTTAAAATGTTTTGGTCAACGGCCGTGCCACCGGCACTGAAATTCCTAATAAAATACATAAATAAGCTAATACTACAACAGCTTGAAACCTTAAATCGGTATATTGAACTGCACTATTGAGGAAATTGGTTTTGGCCTTCAAACCCCCCTGATCCAGCCCCCAAGGATCCAACCCTCAAAACGAGTGTGTGGATCAATGGCAAGGCCCGTATTCACACGGATAAGTACAACCAGAAAGAATCGTACAATCTGACGTCCTCCTTCGGTAATTATACAGGGGGGACACTGTGGATTGAGGGCGCGAGTCAGTTGGGACCACCGGCAACATACACAGATGATCATGGCAAAGACCACAAAGGCTACAACTGCAATACATACCGCAAGCCCACTCTGTTGCATCCTTCAACTAGACATGGTGTACAACCCTACACTGGCGAAAGACATTCTTTTATCGCCTACTCGTCAGGGGGGTACCAGAAGTTCAACAAAAAGCAAAAGCAGCTCCTACATCAATCAAAGTTCCTCTTGCCTACGGCTCAGTTGAAGCTCCCAGCTCAGAAGGCAATGGTTTGTTTGAAGTTATGTGTTGGTTCCCCTCTCGATGAGGGGGGTAGGCTTAACAAACCGCGTTCTCGTTTCGAAAATGATTCGTTTGCGCGCACATCGCTCGAGTGCACAAACACACAACAAACTGCAAGCCTTGACCGTGAAATCATGGCTCCCTTTATGTGCACGACTGCCATTGCAACTTTAGCTGGCTCTGATCTTCCTGACTTGCCCGAAGCGACTTCCACGATCCTCAAGATGGCAGCCGTCGTCGTGAGTGATGAGTTCGGCAGGGTCAACACTGCCGAAGCAGACAGGACTGGGGTAACCAAGGCCATGAAGACACTTCTCCAATCCGCCGCCCTCAACAACGATATCATTTCTCTCGGCGCAGATCACGAATACGCTATGTTGGAGTCGGCGTACTCCTGCGTGTCTACGCAATGCGCGGCCGGGGTGTCATTGACACATGCTGATGCAACCTGTGCTGCGCTGCGCCAGATGGCTGACCTCAGTGACGAGGGACTCGCCAAGTTGAAGCCAACCGCAAGGTTGAGCCCCAAGGCCAAGCGAGCCATCGTAGTCGTCTCAGACAGCTCCACCGCAAAGGGGAGTGTTTGTCAAGACCGACTTGGATGCGGAAGTGAACATCGCAAGCATGACGCTAGGATGGGCACAGACTCGCTACACTATGTGTTGGGGCAAAACCTTGGCGTGGATTGTCTGGCAGGTCGAGGAACACATCAAAGAGCTTCGCGCCAACTTTCCGGACCACATCATCGACGTGATCTGTTGGTGGTGTGGAAACGAGATCTCCGGCCAGTGGGGCTGCATCCCCACACGGCTTGGACCGGGACTCGCATACAGAGATCCCAATGTCACAACGGAGACCGTTGCAAGGAAGGTCAGGCGGGCCGCAGATGTTTTAGCCGCCCTCGCGGGCGAGCCGGACATTGGTTTCGTGAAGGTGATTGGGCAAGTGGAGGCGGACTTGTTCCAACTCCACTCGGCGTACAACGACTTCAATGCCGCCATGTTTGAGGAATTCCGCCAGCGGAATCTCCAGGTGCAATCGGCGAGCTCCCTAGTGGAGAAGTTGGAGATGTACGACTCCTTCCACGCCAGTGAAGATCCTCGAAACCGCGGGTTGTTTCAGGCCTACTTGCATGCGACTTTCAACGCCAGCAGGAGCGAATGGATTGCCCAGAAAATGGCACCATGTGTCAAGGCCCTGATTACCCGCTATGAGCATTTCGAGACTGGAACCGGGGCCAACAACCCGGTGCTTCAGGACGTCTTCAAGCAGTGGCGCGAGGAGAGAGACCAGCTCTTGAACCCGAAGCAGGCGAAGCCGATGCCGGTTACCCAGGAGGACAAGATGTGGGAAGCCCCTGATGCCGCTGATGCGAATGACATCAGCAAGATCGCCGCCGGGCCACCCATGGATAAAGCCATCCGCAAGGATGTGCCAAGGTTCGGTGCAACCACTGATGTGAGTGCTGTTGCGGAGTGCGTCAACGACATTGTCACCCAAGACGCAGATGGTAAGGTATCCTACAGTGTCCCCGGCACAGTGGAGTTGGTTGATGAGGGTGACAAAGTCGACCCCATCCCATCATCGATGGGCAGAGTCATGGAGCCCGCGGCACCCAAGAAGACCAAGAAGTCTGACCGCGATGAGGACGCCGTGCGAAGGCTCATGTTCGTTGATGAAAGCGCCCCGCAAGAGGCTGCCACTGTGCCAGAGAAGCTTCCGAATGAATACTTCTACAATGGTGCGAAGCACTTGATGAAGCCATTCAACCCGGAGGACATTGTGGGCGACAAGCACGTGACCTTCAAACACGGTGACTTGAAGTTCCTCACCAAGTTGCTCCGCGGCCGCACTGATCTTTGACCGTGGGTGCTGGACAGATGTTGACACTCTGCTCCAGGTCTTCAACACCGCTCGGGACGCACGTTGGGGTGTGAGGCAGCTGCTACACGCAGCGAAAGCCAACAACAAGGGGAGGATCAGGCTACTGGGCATCGATGTCCCCATGAAGGACACTCTGGGCCAGCCGTTATTCCCTGTGCGTGTGAGAATGGCCCAAGGGCACAATCAAAAGCTCATCGGCAATAACCCGGACGCCGACTTCTTCCTGGCGACCCGGTTCTACAGTGGATTGTCCCAGGACGATGCCGAACTGCAAAGCAGCGTGAAGGGGGTTACCGTACTCTCCCGCGAGGACACGCCCGCCAAGCTCTATCACCGAACGAATGAGCGAGGCATGAAGGGCATCCTTCGCGACGGCATGATCGCTGGCTCCGCCCGATCAGACAGATCCCACAACTATCTGTCGCCGTATCGCCTGGATGATACCAACTGCAAAAGTGGTATGCGATCCAATCAGCCCATCGAGCTGGCCATCGACACGCAGCGCGCAATCGCCGCTGGATGTGTATTCTTCGTCACGGAAACCGATGGCGTTCTCACTCGCGACATCCTGTCCGCCGTCGACACCAGCAAGAAGAACCTCCCTCTCTATGTCGCCGAAAACAAGGAAGCCACCCGCGAGGGTGAGCCAGTCCATGTTTTCCGTGCCAAGCGCGACTACGAGGAGGCTGCAGCAAGCTCGTCATCGGCACCGCCTCCAAAGCAGGCGGCTATCGCTCCCAAAGCGACTGCTTCAAAGAAGATGCCGAAGGTGGCTCCCAAGCCCACCGCCGTTGCCAAAAAGGACGACGACATGGACTTGGATGAAGCCACCCGCAAGGGTAAGCCTGCTGATGCTGATGTTTTCGCTCCCGATGTCGAGGCTAAGGCCGAGGAGGAGGAGGGCGACACGACGGACGCGGGTGAAGATGAGCCATACCCACGTGGCTCGCATCCATGCAGGGAGTGCGCAGCAGTCGTTGCCAATGGTATGCTGTTCTGCCTCCGCTGCAAGGCTCCCCAGTTCCGCAAAGGTCACAAAGCGAGTCTTCGAAAACTCGAGGCTCCGCCAGCGCCTTCTCGCGCAACCGGAGCCCAGAAGCCCATTGAGGACCTCCTTGCGAGCGATCTTCGTGGCCTTGGTGACGGACCAAAGAAGCGCGGCCAAATGAGTGCAGAGGCGGCTGTGATCCGTGATGCCAAAGACCGAAGGCAGAGAGCATTCAAGCTGAACTTCGAGTCGTTGTCCTATCGCTTCGAGCATGACAACCAGTTCAGCATGAGGATGATGCAGGAGGGCCGCAGCATTGAGGACATGCAAAAGTTCGACCACCTGGCGAATGCTGTGCTCCCGGATCCCGGACGCAGCGAGGAGCAGCGGTACTTGCGTGCCGGTTCCCATTATGGTGGTGGCAATGTCCCACCTGCGAAGCTCGTCTATTATGCCCACTGCGAAGTGGAGCCGTTGCGGAGTCTGCGATTCATCGATGAAACAGCGGACGTCCCCATCGGCTTGACCTACATGGGTGCATTCCTCCCTCCGCGACTCTTTGCTGAGGTGGCTGCAGTGAATGATGCTGCGAAGCGGATCCTGACCTTCGACGGTGAGGTCTATCTGTCGGCGACCACTACTGAAGGCATCACAACTGAGATCGGCCAAATCATTTCCGATAGCCTCCGTAGCGCCCGGGATCAAACCCACCAAACGGAACGTTTGGCAGAGCGCAACCGTCAGGCTGCAGCCCAGAATCGCCCATCCCAAAAGGGACGTGGTCGTGCTGCGGACCCTGAGCCAATGTACAGAGGCTACACTCAGGCCCAGTGGGATGAGTCTTACCGCCAGCGCCGTGGAGGATACACTCAGGCCGAGTGGGATGCATGGACCGCACCCATAGGCGTTGAGTCCTCGATTTTGATTTGCTTCGGACCCGCAGGGCTTCCCCGTTGTGCTTTATATATGCTCGCTTTGGCAAGTCTTTCACAAAACGTTGAAGCCCAGGGCAACCTGGAGCCATGTACTTGTCCGCCTTAGCTCGAGCAGCACGGCGATGGGGGTGTAGATTTTACCCTGCCTCCATGACTATTTCTATGGTCCTTAGCTATATCTGTACGCGACGCACTTGGCCCAAGTCCCCATTGGAAAAAGTCCACAGGGTTGACTTACCGGTACAAAGCCGTGCTAAGCTGTTAGCCTGAGAATCTTCAGCTGTGCCATGGCGAAGGACTTGTGGGCTGAGTCTTTTTACTGACCGGTGTGCTATGGGTGGGCTAAGATCAGGTGATCAGGGGTCGTGAGCTGAGAAACCCCCGCCGCTCGTATTCTGAGACCAGTTGTTGCCAGTGTTGAAAAGGCTAGAGTAGTTGTGCCAATGTTAATTACCCCCCCTATGGAACACGGGTTTTCTTGTCGGGTCCCAAAGGGCCGGTCCTCCACCAAAGCAACTTCGACACGCAACGCGCGGCCTTCGACGCGGCCTACGATGAGGAGACGGACTCAGGGTAGGTATACCCGGTTTTTTGGGTTGAGTTTGTGGGATTTTCAGCAACTTTGGGGCTATTGGTGTTCGGGAGAGTTCCCAGCGATACCATGCCACACCAACAACAGTCCAGGTCAGATTGTTGTGTCTTCTTTCGGGTCTGCATGAGCACGGCAGGTACACAGTCATACACAGCCCATGTTGCAGAAGTTGCAGTAGTAGACATCACGTTTCACTGAAGTTCCGCCGCGCATGCAGACAGTACCGACGTCGAAACCTTAAGGGCGAGTCTGGCTGTCAGGTTCATGCTCTCTCGTCTCTTGAAGCTTGCGAATTTGGTAGGGTTCGGCCTCTCGCAAGGTGCTGCGATGCGCGGAGGTGCCGGGACGGGGCTCGTGGGGGTTGCTTGTTCGAGGTTTCGCAGTGGCATGGAAGCCGCTACTGCCAGGTTGAGATGGAGCAGCGAATAGTCTGGCCCAAGTCAAAACGCAGCTGGGGGCCACCCCCGTAAAATAAATTGAACTCCGAGACACAGTGCCACCCTCAGCACCCCGCTTCGTCCTATACCATGATGGAAGCTTCTCTACGCTGCAGCCTTGAACCGAGAAAACTCCCTTACTTCCATCTTCCACAAAGCCCGCTAACTTTATGAAGCCTAGAAACAGTAGCATGACCACACTCTGGGGATTGTCTTCTCGGTGGCCATGCGCCTCACATGTAGCAATGCAGCAGGGCGTCGGCATAGCCCAGGCCTCATAATATGTACTCGAAAGACCTACAAAGATCCCGAATAGTGTCAGAGTGCTCACGCAAAACCCAGCCAGCCATGGTCGGCCAACCGGTGAGCGGAGATGAGCTGGATGACCGCGCAAGGCATCAAGAGACTTTGAGTTTCAGCCTTCGCTTGCCGATCATCCCGTCTTCTCATCATCCGCCTTGCGGCGAGGAGTGGCCGACTCGCGCCGAAATGCCCTCACATCCTGAAGGGCGTGCTCGGCATGCTGTGCATCTGGGATGCTAAGTTCTCGCAGCATGCAGCTTGGTTTCGATGAGAAACCCTTCTCCAAGAGCATAGGACCTTGCAGTGCCCCAGCAACAGATCGGGGGACCTTCGGGTTGTCTGGTTGCCCCTGTACACTGGGTTTCGCGATTCGGCGCCGGGGGCTGCACACCTGCAGACTCCCACGGCACCCGCGCTAACAGCTCACCTTGGTGGCTGAGTCGGTCCCGAAAGGCCCATGCACAGGTTTGCGGACCTTTGCTGCGGCCGGCGAGCGGGCCAGAAACGATCACGTGACAGCTTCATGAGGATGTTGAGGCTCCACGCCCCTGGTGGAAGCAGATGCGGCTCAGTGCCCTTTGGGTGTGCAGAGAAATTTCTTGTCGCTTTTCAATCCTGCTGTTTTGATTGCCGCGAAAACCAAGGAAGTCCAAGATCGCTGCGCCCGGACTATAGGGTTCAGGGTGTTTTGCTTTTTTCTTCGGGGTGAGGGCGTCAAGGGTATTCATAAGGGTTTAGGGCAGTGTTCGGGCTTCAAGTTTTTAGGGATTTAGGGGTTTGGGTGCTTTTCTTCGGGGTTAGGGCTTTAAGGGTGTGTGGGTTTAGGGGTGCATTTTTTGGGGGAGCGTTTAGGGTTTTTAGGGTCAGCGGTTTAGGGGTTTAGGGGTTTGGGTTTTCTTCTTTTTATTCAGGCCCCTACTGTAAGAGTTTTGGCGTCAGGCTTCAGCTTGTGGTGCGAAGCAGCTAAGTGTACGAGTTTGTTGTTGTTTTTTGGCGGTTGTTCTGTTGTGTGTAGTGTTGGGGTGTTGGTTGTTTGGCTTGTTTTGGAGAACAGAATGTAAGCAGGGCTTCGGGGTTGGAGGGTTTAGAAATCCGGGAACTGTTCTGGGTGATTGAGGTTTAAGGTTTCGGTTGTGAAGCTGAAGAGGTTTGGGGCTTTGCCATTCCACAAGGGTCCAATTGCCTAGCAACCGTACACTCACCAAAACCAAAGTTTTCATGACGAACGTTCTAAGCCCGAGTAACCTAAGTACATCCCTAGTCCATTCTAAGCTCCCCCCCAGCCCCCAAACTCAGACTCCCCCTATAGTCTCCATTGTATTTGTGGTTTCTGGTTTTACATTTAGATGCAAACAGGGTCCTATATAAGGCAACCCCAAAGAGAACTATAAAAGAGACTATAGGGACGCCTCTAAACCCTAACTTTCCCAACACCTTCACGTGTTCAAGACTGTCGGGGCCTCGAACCTAAACGAAAACGGGCTCCAAAATTCCTCTCTGCTGCGTTTAGGTTCGTATCGTATATAACCCTACTAGAATTGAAAAGGTTCTCACGTTTTGTAGGTGAAAATACTCAGCCCTTAAGAAAATGGTTGTGGAGTCTCCAGACTATGGGGTTAAGGCCAAGGCTTAGGAAGTCCCTTTCTTCGAAGGTTTAAAAACCTCCATCTTTAAAGAAGCCTGTGCCAGACCTTAATAGAAGCCGTACAGGAAACCCAAGAGCCTTGTCAAACGCCGTAAGTGCCAGAAAGACCTTAACTCTAAAACAGCCTAAGACCCGCAAAGAGTCCTTGACCTCAAGGAGTTCCTGGAGAATCGCATGTGCGTGGCGCTGGGTGGGCGTCTGCTGGCAAGCCTTTGTCCGGGGACTAGTTGAAGGGTTTAGCTTGTTGGGCCAGGGTTCAGAATTTAGGATTAGGGATCAGGGGTTCAGAGGTTTAGGGTCTTGGGTGAGGGTTCAGGGTTGAGGATTTGGGGTTGTAGTAAGCGTGGTATCGCTAACCCGAAAAGCCGCACAGAGGTCTACATTGGGTTGGTATGAACAACCCTGCAGGCTTCCGGCCACCTGCACCTGGGTGTACAAGTAAATAGATATCGACCCTTAATCCCAAAGCCGACCCAGCTCCAAAACCCCTAAGCCCTACATCCAACGGTAAGGTCTGGCCGAAGAGATCATCAACGGCAAGGCCTCGCAGTGCTGTGATCTTGAAAGGGGCTGGAGGTGAAGGGTTTGGGGGTTGCGCTAGACCCTGTTATGAATATTGACGCCTTAAACCCTAACTTAAACCCCTATAGGGTTTAGAGTTTTAGAGCTCTTGTTCCAGGTTTAGAGCTGAGGATTTGTTTTGCAGGTTTAGTTCGGGTTTTGATTTCTTTTGCAGGTTTAGGGTTTTGTGAATTGTTTTGCAGGCTCAGGCTTTTCTTTTGCCAAGGATCGCACAGACTCACCGTGTTCAAAGGATTGCGAGTCACAGGGCTTCAGGCCTCAGGGTTGAAGCGATAGGCCAGGGAGATTCTGGTCTTGGGGCTGTCCAAAGTCCAGCGGCTTAGGAGCTTAGGGTTGGCTGGAATTCTAAAGGTTTAGCGCAAGTTTAGCTATTTCTACCATTCTTCCATTCCCTACTAGACAAAGGTAACCCCTAAACCCTAAACCCTATGGCTACGGCTCAAGCTGTATGGCCCGAGACCTTTTCTGATTCCCCATCGTCCCCTGTTCTGGGCTTTCATCGGGGGCGGCGTGACCTCCTGGGGGCGATCTTTGGGCGGCCAGTCCTTCATCGTGAACGGTGGCCTTGAAGTTCTATCGTGCCGACCGTGAACGAGATCTGCCGGCCAGTGCTTCTTTGTCCTTGTGGTCCTCCCTGCGGATCTGCTCAACGGTTTTGGGGCGGCACTTGGTCGGTTGACTTGGGGCACGTTCACCTGGGCGAGTTCACTGGAGTGTCCCTTGCTTTACCTGGGGTGTCTCTCTGTTGTGGGCTTCAGCGACCGTGTGCTCACCTCCGCGCTGTCCTGGGCTCATCGTTGTGGGCGACATGGGCACGAATGACATGGCTGTCGATCTGGAGCGCGTTGAACAAGTTGGCTCTCCTACTGAACTTGCAGAAGAAAGTGACATGGAACCGGAGGATGTCGTCGAGCCGAAGATCGAGGGTGGACCAGATCGGACGGACAAGAGCGAGAAAAGCGAGAAGCGGAAGCGCGAACCAAAGGAATCACGTGCTGGGGCCCGTGCAGTGCCGGATGACACGGATGAGGACCTAGGCAGCCCCTCTAAACGAGCGCATGGAGACGATCGACCCATATCTGCACGAGAGCTGAGAGAGCTGCTGGCTGGCCATCGGGATGACATGAAGCAGGCATGGCACTCTTTCGAAGATCGACTAGGGCGAGTTGAGCAACAGCAGAAGAAGCAAGTGGGAGAGGTCGCCTCCTTGTCGGGCAGAACTAAGATAAACGAGAAAGACATTTCTGTCATCAAGAAGGCCCAGAGCAACACCGATAAGAAGATCGACAAGATCACGGAGGGAGTTGCCAATCTCAAGGTGCAATTTGAGGAAGTCAAGCAAGCTGCCAAGCCTCCACCTGATGGGGGCATTGGACCTGATCCTTGGGCCGACTACCTCCAGCGCCAACAACAGGCCTCGAAGCAAGGGACGACCATTCAACATCGGGGTGACCTTCCGCCACAACCGAGGAATGCCGGGACTGCGATTGGGGGTGACACGGACTTCCTCTCTGAGGACGACAGGAAGACGTTGGTGGTGGGTGGGTGGATGCAGGACACCAGACGCGCGACCATCGATGAGGAGTCAAAACAATTCCTTGAGCATCCAGAAGTCCGACCTCTTCTCGACGTGGATAGGCTGGCAATCTTTGGTCCGCGACGCAGCGTAGGAATGTTGAAGTTTTTCCCAGCGTGAGAGCGATAAAACGCTGGAAGATGTCAAGAGCAGGATGTGGCAGGTGGTGAAGATTGCTTCGAAACTTAAGATCTCGCTGAACAGCGCCAAGAACATGGGGGAGGACAAAACTATTTGGTGTTCGTTTGTCAAAACCAAGCAGGCGAGAACGCGATCCGCCCACATCAGCATGGCACGCCGTGTGACAATGGCTCTGGCAGCCGAATCCAAGACTGAAGATGGTGGCGTCCTCAACATCGAGCACACCACTGCCGGTGCCTATGACATGGACTGGAATGCGGGCACAATCTGGTGTGGCTTGCACAAGCTCGCCTCGGCAACCCACCGCAGTCCTAAGGACGCCGAGATCATCACCATGACGGGCGGTTGGATCGACCTGGACGCCGTGGGGCTCATTGCAGGATGCTCGGCTGAGGCTGCCAAGGCAGCCTTTGAGAAGGAGCTGTGAGTTGAGGAGGCTTTCACCCTACCGGATGGTGGGACGAATTCTGGACCTGGTGAAATTCCGCCGGGTGACTTGCATGACCTCGAGAAGCTGCGGAGACCACAAGTGTGTGTAAGACACAGATGGGGCCGATGCGGAACATGGAATCTGGGAGGGCAGAAACTTGAACTCCTTGATGTGGCGGGGCGAGATCTTGATTTCATCATGGCTCAGGAAGTTTCACGGGGTGAAGTTGGTTGGGACGTTACGAACACCGATATGTTCCACTGGATTCATCACCAAGGTCCTCGTCAATGGAGAGGCGTGGCCATTGGGATTGCACACGAGAAGTTGGACAGTGTCATCCATAAAGTGGCTACCAGTCGTGGAATCTGGCTTTTAGTTCGCCTCAAAGGACTTGGGCGAGTTGTAGTTGGGACTCTCCATTGTCACACAGGAGCTACCAACGCGATATTTCAAGCTGCGGCTCTTCAATTTGTGCATGAATGTCTCAATCGTTGGCGTCAGTATCCCATGCTCTGTGGCATTGATGTGAATGAAGAACTCAAGTGGGACGAGGATGAAAACCAGAGGACGGCTTTACGACGGGGTTCCTCCAACCTTGAACTTCTCTCGCATCAGATGCTGCAATCTGGAGGCAAGCCCGTGGGACCAGCCAAATCCCAGTGGAATTGCCCCACACATTTTCCGCGGGATGAAACTAGGGCAGGGAGACAAATCGACAGCCTGTGGGTCAGACAGATTGATGTGAGTGTTGCCAACATCGACCCGGAACGTCGTCACTGCATAGGTACAGACCACGCCATCGTTTTCGCCGACATCTTTTCCAACACCAGGTCTCGTGACCGTTGGGGAAAGGACTCCAGGCCTAGATATGTCTGTACGGACATCCCTATGGAATATATTGGCAACGCCTCCGACCTTGCGAGAGTAGCGAAAGCATGCACCTGTCCGAGAAGATCCCGTGCCTATGAGGATTCCGACGAGGTTAAGAAGATGATCCGAGCCGCCCGCCGTTCCAACCACAAGAGAGACTGGAAGGCTGTTCATCGGACCAGGAGAACTGCCAAGCGAGAATGGGAACAGAAAAGACTGAGTGAAATTCTACATGGAGATTGGGATCAATATAGAGCGCTGCAACGTGAGAAGAAGAAGAAGAAAACTGGATGGTGGGGGAAAATGCTTCTACACCAAACCGCGGCCGAGAACACCGAAAGGGTGAAAATGCACCTCTCGTCTAAGCTCGTCAATGAGTACGGCAAGGATTGGGATGAACTTCTGCAGATGCAAATCGACGCTGTTGAAGTCAAGAGCATCTTTGTCCCATTCACTCTGGGAGAAGTTCGTGAAGTCCTGCAAGGGATGAAGGTGAATAGCGCAGTTGGGCCCGACGGTGTCAGTGTTTCGTTCCTTCGGCATGCCATGAGTCATGAGGTGGTTGCGCCTATGATCCTCAATCTCATTAATCAGATCATTGAGAATATCGACATGCCCCAAGATTGGGAGGACAATTTCTTGGCGTTGCTTGCTAAGGTCGACTATCCGGAGAAGCCAGGCGATCTACGACCCATCTGTGTCAGCTCGGCATTCCATAAGTTGATCAACAAACTCGTGTGTGCTCGAGCCATGCCGCGAATGCGAGTTGGGTCGCGCATCTCAGGGTGCGGCAAAGGAAGACAAGCAGCTGACATTATTGGGACCATGTCGCGCTTGCGTGATCTCACCCAAGAATGGGATCTACCAATACTTGTGTGCAAGCTTGATATATCAGGGGCATTTGATAGGCTCGATCGACAAAAGGTGGTGGAACTGCTCCGCGCACGGTTGGACGGGGGCGACCTTGATCATGAAATGAGATATTTGATGGCACAGCTCAAGACCTACAAGCTCTCAGGGAAAGTACCTGGCGGGGGTGACATTTCGCTCTCGCCAAACATCGGGATAAAACAAGGCGCCCCCGAGTCGGCCGAAATCTTCGGCTTAGTGATGGACGCAATCCTGACGCAGCTTACCCAACATGCGGGCTGGAAGGCTTTCGGGCAGCCAATTGCAGGACTCGACATTGACCTCGTCTTTTACCAGGACGATATCTTCGTGGTGGAAACGGAGCTTGGCCGCCTTGGGAAACGAATCAAAGTCCTTGAACGCTGTCTGAGTAAACATGGTCTCAACTTGGCTGCTGAAAAGACGAAAATTGTTGCCGCCAAAGGCTACCATGGAGCTCGCCGTGTGATGGTGGGCGGGACGACTTTCGCCGTTGCTGGCAGTGATCAGTCCGTCAAAGTCCTAGGCATCTCCTTCAACCTCCAAGAGACATCCTCACAACAGGCAAGAGAGATTCTCCAGAGAGCCCGTGCTGCCGCAATGCAACATAAAGAGATCTCGAGAGGAAGAGCCAGTTGGGAACGCAAGGCCAACATGATCGGCACCCTCGTGGAATCGCAATTCACGTGGATCGGTGGAGCTCTGCGCTGGTCACCCGAAGATCTCCGACAGGCCAACACCCTACAATTGCACGTGATGAGGAGCGCTTTCAGGATCGCTCGGGCCAAAGATGAGACCTGGGCTGATTGGAACACCCGTAGTATGAGACTCTGCCGAGCATGGATTGCTGCTAACGGGCGACAACGTTGGTCTGCTCGTCTTCTCACTTTGCAACATACGTTGATGGGACACTGGGCGAGGATGAAGGAAGATCTTGGGGAAGGCCGGCCTACGATTCCCTGCTTGCCAATGCGGGCCTTGTCTTGGAGGTGTACATCATGGTGGCGAAAACAACAGCTCCTTAGTCCCCACACAGGCGTACGGCACCCTCATCGTGTCTATATCTCCAATGTTGAACAGATGCTCTCGGACACGCTTGGGAACGACTGGCCTCAAATCGCACTTGATCGTCACAGATGGGCGGCCTGCCGTCCTGAGTACATCCATAGATGGGACCCAAAGTGGTGCCGAGGACGTCAGCTCGCACTCAGGAACTAAGACATGGGAGCGATGTTAACATGCGAGGGAGGGCTTGCTCAGGGGCGAAGTGAAGTTCCGCCTCAATGCCTGACTGAAGGTCCCCTGATGATGCCCTGAGTCGTTGTCTGCATCTCGCCTGTGTCCTTCCTATGTGATGTGAAACTTTGACATCGTGAAGATTCCATGACCTTGTGAAGCCATATAATGTTGCTCTCGCTGGCGATGGCTGTTCGCCGGTGCGACCACAATCTTTCTACTGCCTGAACGATCAAATGTACCCTAGATATCCTGGACTTGTACATGTACACAATCGCTTTCTCTTCAATTCTGAGATGTGCCGAACTGCCTTGTTGAGAACTGCGCACAAGACCTCTGCTCTCTCTACCAAGGCTCGAGACGCACTGTGAGACAACACTCTCCCTGTTGTGACCTACATGGCTCCCCGCCCTGTGCTTGGCGGGATGTTTTTCTGGACTTTGGTGTCTTTCTGGCTGCCTACGACTCCCGGATGGTGGCTGGTTGCGCCCTCGACGACCTCTACTACATCGTCGACTCCCACAAACGGAACAATGCCGCGCTGGGCACCCTGGACGCCGGAGCAAGTCGCGGAAGTGGCCGCTGAAACTTGGGAGGAAACTACCTGGAATCCTGAACCGCAAGGGCAATGGGATGATCCTCCTGCTTTGCCCACAGCGGGCGAATCAACGGCCTCCTCGTCTTCGACTCCGGCCACCTCGTGGGACTCGGCTCCGACAACATCCTCTCGAACTTGGTATGCGGAGGTGGTCCAAATGCGTGAAGCTTGGGGTGAGATGTCGCCCGGAGTCCACTCACCGTCGTGTGCCTGGGATGAGAACATCAGCCTGTCGCTGCAACACGAGATCCTCGAGACAGTCACGGAGTGGCCCTGGCCAGGGGATGTGCCTGCAAGCTCTTCCTCTTCCTCGTGGGTGCCACCTGGACCGTCCGCCAGTAGTGTCCCGTTGCCTTCCATCTGCGATCTTGACCCTCGAGCAGGACCACATCGACCTGATTCTGAACTATGGGTACGACGAGGCGAAGAAGCACTACCTCGACTTGGAGCACAACGACCCGATTCCGGACCAGATGCACAGCAAGACGCAGGTGACGATCTGGGACTATGTGACTATGTCGTGATGAAACATCGGATCCTCAATGCCCCGGACAACCAGCCGGAAGCACAGGGGCGACCTCCTCCTGGGAAACCCCAGAGTGCACGACGACGTCAGCTGACGGGGAGAACTACGACCTGGGCCCGACAATACAACATGCCCCAAGTTGGTGGGAAGCAGTCCGTGACCGACGAGCCCTCCGCCGACGACCTGCACCTGACCCACTGCCTTGTGTCCCCGCTCCGGAACAGCCGGCACCAACGCCCAGGCAGAAGGAATCACCAGTAGGTTTGGACTTCAACGACCGGGCCTAGACAGGTGGCACAATGCAAATGGGTCGGTGCGCTGTCGACTACGTGAAGCACAAGAAACGGGGAACTCGGCCATGGGCTCCTCCACTTCGTCAGCAAGTTCTTCAAGCATGGAGGCGACACCTCGCTTCACGGTGACAGGACATGATGCACAAGGAGGAGAAACCACAGTGCAGGCGGTTACCTTCTATGGGGAGAAGTTCGAGGTCTGGTCGGACCCTCCTACAAATCCAGAGGAGGAATCCACAACTGCGGGTGAGAATACGACGGACACTGGAGGAGAGGCAGACGATGATGGCGCATCTGATTCCTCCACCTCTACGGGGTTCTTCCGCCATGGGGTCTGGCAAGCGAGGGCCCGCACGGCATGGGAACAACGTCAACGCGTCGGATGCAAAGGGGAACATCGGACCAAGAAGCGGCAGATGCGAATGCAGAACTACCTTGAGGGCAAATGGAAGCCCGCTTGGATGATGACCTACATCCGGGATAAGCAGGAGCGAGAAGCTCGACGCCAACTTCCTGGACTATCTGAAGCACAGGAAGAAGTGGATGAAGACAGCGCCCCGCCTATGTTAGACCACCTGAACTCCGCGGAGCATGTCCAGGGTAACCTGCCGGTGGACAACAATTCCGGGAGAGAACTACCCCCAGACGGAATCGACAGGGGCGAGGCGAACCAATCCGTCGCTTCAACTTGGGACTCCTCTTCATGGACTGCCAGTGGGTGGACTTCGTCGAGTACGTGGACCTCCTGGACGTCTGGGGAATGGAAGTCAGCACCGACGGAGCCGTGGTGGGAACATACAGAACCGTGGCCTGAGGAGGGGAGCACTTCCTTGGAGCCTCCAGCAACAAATGAAGACACCAACGAGGAAGTTCAGAACGAATGGGGCCACGACTGGCGTGCACGGAGATGGCTGTGGTGGAAGTGGACTTCAACCTCGACTTCTACTACGACTCCCGTTGTCATACCGAATGCCGGACTCTTTCCTCAAGTCCGTCCTCCACGCCGTGGGCTTGATTGGAATGGGGAGGGAGTCATGGAAATTACCAATGGTGAGACGGCTACGCTACAGGAGTACGGTGTGCCTGAAGGAATCAGACGACGTCTTGCTGACCTACTACAAGCACTTGATGCACAGCAAACCCAAGGCACGGGGCCAGAGAGCCGTTGGGCTCTTGCGCGGAACCTACAACGTATACGTGAGTCGCTTGAGGCAGCCAATGCGGTTGTGCGGGTCCTACAACGCCGCCTACGTCCACGTGGAGTTTTACCGGTACAAAGAGTTCCGGCACGAGAAACGGAGATGAGGCGCCAGGTGTTGTGGGGGAGACAGTTTGGACATCTTATCCAAGATCTCCTTGAGATACACCTCACCACACCACTGCAACCAGGCGAGGGGGAGGATGAGGCAGTGTCGCCACCTTCTGTTCTCATGTCTGAGGAGGAGGCTTCAGGCTCGACGGATGGGCCTGCTCGAAATAGGACCCCTCAATCTACTAGGCGAGACAGGTCCAGGAGCAGGGCGAGTTCCTCACTAAGGTCTCCAGCGAGATCGTCGAGTACGGCATCGGCTTGGGATAGCGAACATGCATACAATGAGGAGGGTGAGCTGATCTGGGTTCCGCCTGCCCTCCCCGGTGAGCCGCCGAATGGACCCCCGCCGCCACAGCCGGTGAATTCCGGTGAATCTCCCGCAGGGCATTGTCTCTTTGGAACCCGAGGGGATTTGGCGCGAGTTTGAGGATGCCCCGGAGTCTACAACGAGCACGACCACCTCGACGTCTCAGCCTGCCGAGGTGAACTGCCTAAGCGACGTATGTGTCGGGGCCACAGATGATGGGGCGCTTTCTCCTAAGTGGTGGAAACCTCTGAGCGCTCCTTCCTGGGATGTTGTTCTGGTGGATTGGATGTCGCTCATGCAGCGCTCGGTTGTGGTCCATGGGTGCTCCTCTACGACAACCACCACGACGAGCAGCTCGATGACATGGCCAGCCGATATTGTCCGAGACTGCGTGAATACGAATCTGGTGCATGGCGATCAATCGGACGTGGTCGACCTCGTCCGACGCCTGCTTGACCGACAGCGACATCTTCGTCACCTTCAGCGACTCACAGCCGATGCTATTGAAGAGGCGCTACATTGGGTACACGTCGACCTGAATTCCATGCCTCTCAACGCGGCTACATATGAGCGGAATATCTGGGCCACGATAAAATGCCGAGGCAACCCATGGGTCCGCAGCAAGTTCCTCTGGGTCGTCGCAGTGGGTGACTTCACCATCGGTTCTCCTCCAGCCTGGCTTCCCGATGTCCCTGGAAGACCTCACGCGAGTCTTGCCCCGGACGTCTCCACACGTTGTCATCGGCTACCGCCGACGGGCCTGGAGAAATCATGTGAGGTCGCTCTATCGAGAGCGTGGACTAGAGTCTCCGGAAGGCTTTTGGCGGCCGGAAGCGGATCGTGACCTATACCTCATCCAGGCAGACCCAGGGCGGCCTGTTGGCAACTGGCCGACCAATGTGGCGCGACCAGAAAATCCAATACAGACCTTGCCGATGCAAGGGAGACGTCGAGGACGCTCGCATCGTCCACCGCCTCGCCTTGTCGATGAAGATGTGAATCCCTTGCTGGAACAGGTACCAGGAGCCCGAGTGCCGGATAGGCGTGATGCCACTGGAGTTCATTTTGGTGTGGCCTCTACCGTGATGGGGAGTTCGACGTCTGCTGACACTGCCCTTCGTGAACCTGCTGCCCTTCGTGACCCCGCTGCCCCTCGTGAACCTGCTGCCCCTCGTGAACCTGCCGCCCATCGTGATCCTGCACACCGTATACATCGTGCTTCAGGTACTGATGGTCGGGGGGATGGGCGTGCTGGTCTGACGATGCCCACAGTTGCGTCTGCCTTGCCGGCGTCTACAGTGTCCGAGTCTTGGTCCCATAGTGCACAAGGTGATCATGCAGGGCTATCTCAGGTTGATGTGGATGGCTCGTCAGATGAACTTCATTGGGGTCCCGATGGCATGCCGATGTATGAGTCCGATGATACTGATGTGCCGGATGAGAATGTCCCTGGCCCTGAACCTTCTGATCTGAGCCGAGGACGTGAAAGGAGTCGTAGCCGTGACCGTGTGTAGCAGTGTAGCAGTGTGTCAGGCAGTATAAACTAGGACCAAAGTGGCATCCTGAGTCAGCTGCTGTTGGAGCTGTCTTTTGTGCCTTGTACTTGGTCAGTCGAGTGCCCTGCAGGCCAAATGCGGCTCTGTCTGCTTTAGTGTCTGTGGGGACTTTCAGTGTAGGCCCCATTGTGTGGCTGGCTGCTTCAGCTGGGAGATTGCTCGCATGCACAGAAAGAAGCCATTGCACTTAAAAAAAAACCCTATAGATCCCTTAACCTTTTACAGGAACCTGTTACTGCCATTCTTCCATTCCCTACTAACCAAAGGTAAGTAATGGCCCACAAGTCGCGAGTGCGAAGCGAACGTTGATACTTCCTTGGGTACGGCCCCCACTCAGTAACAGTTGGATAATATTCATAATATAGATATATGAGGCCCTTAATAGTAGCCCTATTATATATGCGGCCCTTGATAGTAGCCCTATTATATATATATATATAAGGCCCTTAATAGTAGCCCTATTATATATAAGGCCCTTGATGGTAGGCCTATTATTGACTGTTACTGTATGGGGGCCGTACCCAAATACTTCCACTTCTCTTGCCGCTGGGCGCGGCACCGTTTCCTGAGTCTCACGATCTCGATGGTTGTTTTCCTAAGGGTCCATGTATTCATATGTAGTCCCTATATAGGTACTGTGGGGCTCATGTATCTCTATAGGGGCACATGGACCCTTAGGGTTCTGTTGAAGTATGTTGCCTTCCTCTTCCAGCTTTTTGTTTTTTTCCTATGGTTACCTTCCCGAACATCCTCCATTCCACCCCAAACCCAAAGCCCTTTCGCCTCTGACCGTTTCGTCACTGCTTCAAGTACTACCATGCTCGGTTTTTTCTGGTCCTGGGCCTGGTTTAAGATTTAGTCTTCAGGGCTTTGGGTTTAGGGCTCAGGGATCCTAGAACAGACAGGTGTGTTTGAGTTCTGACTTCGAGGCTTCTGTGAGGTATATACTTGTTTGGGTGTTTTTCGTTGGGGAGATTTATTCCATAAGATCTAATTCAGAACCCTGAGAAATGATGTTGCTGATCATCCAGTCCCGTGCATGCTTTCCTGAACCACCATTCAAAAATACTGAAATCGGAATCGTTAGCAATAGTATCCTCCTTCAGTCCCTAGATAGTAGACCCCAGAATCCTAGTCCAATTCTTCAGGCCCCTACATAATGTAGAACCCTTGCAGCAACCGGGGACCCTTGCGGTAACCCTGAAGGGAGCTCTTGAACAGAACCCGCTTAGTGTTTGACCCTGATACTTGCAGGTTCATGGGCAGTTATAAGTAGGGTTAGAAGTAGGGTAAGTATACTTGTAAACCATACTTGGGGACTTATAGCCCCACTTATAACTGCCCATGAGCCTCCAAGTACTCGCCCTGGGGGGCAGCTTAAGCTTCGGGGCAGGATGTTGCAGTCGCTTCCCTGTCGCCAGCTCTTGAGATCAGTGCCTTCTTTGCCGCTCGGAAGAACCGAGACAACACAGCGGGGGTTTAGGGCTTTGGTGTGTTTGGTTGAACCGGGGTGCCGTTTAGGAGCAGAAG